CATGTCTGCTGGGGACCAGCCTGTGATGACATGTCTGCTGGGGACCAGCCGATGGTGTCAGCAGTTGCCAATTTGCTGTGAGTGAGAAATTCAGCTGCAGGAGGCAATCAGAGCAGAAGGTTCTAGTTTTGTGGTTACTTCTGCTCTGATATGGTCACTCAAGAGCCTACCCTTAGAAATCCATTTCTTTGATTCATTAGGAATCTTGGATTAAGATGTAAAAGTTGAGTTGAGAACATAGTTCATGGTAGAGTGCTTACCTAGCACGTCCCCAGAAGGCCCTGTGTCTGCTGTCCAGCATCATCCCCGCTGCTGGTCACACATGCAAATAAAGTGTTTATGTTTCTTATTCTGTCAGATTGTTATTACCTCTCCCACAAACGAGTGAAGGCTGGCTGCTTACCAGATGCTATCAACATGTTAAGGGTCATGGCAACAGCTTGAGGTTAAGCGTGAGGTGGCCAGTGTTATTCCATTCTAGGAAGACAGTACCCACCCTTTCAAACATTTGAAAGTAGGGAGACTGACTATAGCTGCCTCGTGTCTAACCTAGAGAGCAATGTTTGTAATGAGGATCCCAGCAATCTGGGACCTGAACTGGACCGTGCTTATTCACCAGCAGTTGTCTTAGTTCTTGAGAATGCTGCTGGGTTCTAAGGCATAGGAGGAAGTGAATTACTTCTGGCTTGGCTTTGCGCTTCCTCTCCTTCACATGAATATAGAGTTTTCTTTCTTTTAAAAACAAGATTTGGATGTTACAGCAAATTGTCATGTGACAACCTTTATAAATATGGTCTAAATGTTCAAGTCTTTATACTGCTATTCTTGTTTTTTTACACTGAGCATAGATATATGCCTCTTATGCCTTAAGTTTTAAGTAGAGGAGGTTAGACCAAGAGGCTGACTTGCAGGATAAGGTAGCTTCTGAGAGAAACGTTATTAACTCAACCACTCAGAGGAGGCAGTGGCAAAGCATCACTTCAATAGCTACTTCACACCTTCATTTCCTTGTGAGATGATGCGAGACTGAGTTTTCCACCCATCCTTAGTTGCAGCTCTCACGTCCTCATTCAAAGTTCTGTGTGCGGTCATTGTGTGGGTTGACTGTAGCTCGATCCCTAAAATCTATAGGAAAGGCAATAGAAGATCTTACCTTTTTATATAAAGTTCTCTTTCTACAGAAAACAACCTAGAGTATGAATTTTTTTAAATAAATTTACTTATTTATTTATTCATAAAAATTTCCACTTCCTCCCCTCCTCCCAATACCCTCCCACTTCCCCCCACTCCCTCTCCAGTCCTAAGAGCAGTCAGGGTCTCCTGCCCTGTGGGAAGCCCAAGATCCTCCCCCCTCCCTCCAGGTCTAGAAAGCTGAGCATCCAAACAGACTAGGATCCCAAAAAGCCAGTACATGCAGACAAAACAAGACCCAGTGCCATTGTCAATGGCTTCTCAGTCAGCCCCCATGTCAGCCACATTCAGAGAATTCGGTTTGATCACATGCTCGTTCAGTACCAGTCCAGCTGGCCTTAGTGAACTCTCATCAGATCAATCTTCCAGTATCAATAGGTGAACGCACCCCTCGCGGTCCCGACTTCCTTTTTCATGTTCTCCCTCCTTCCGCTCCTCATTTGGACCTTGGGGGCTCAGTCCGGTGCTCCAACGTGGGTCTCTGTCTCTATCTCCATCCATCGCCAGATGAAGGTTCCATGGTGATATGCAAAATATTCATCAGTATGGTTATGGGCCAAGGCCAGTTAAGGCACCCTCTCCTCTGCTGCCCAGGGAACAATCCGGGGACCTCTCCTTGGGCCTGGGAACCCGTCCAGAATCAAGTTTCCTGCAAACCCCAAAATGGCTCCCTTAGTTGAGATATATACCTCCCTGCTCCCATATCCATCCTTCCTCCCTCACCCCCATCCCATTCCCCCAAGCCCTCCCCAATCCTCCCCCTCTCCCTTGTCTCTAACCATCTTCCTTTACTTCCACCCCCCACCCACCGTGCACCCAAGTTTGCCTGGCAATCTTGTCTACTTCCAATATCCAGGAGGACAACCACACGATTCTCTTCAGGTTCACCTTCCCATCCAGCTTCTCTAGGATCACGAACTATAGGCTCAAAGACCTTTAATTAAGGCTAGAATCCACTTATGAGTGAGTACATACCATATTCCTCTCCCTGGGCCTGGGTCACCTCACTCAGCAAAGCGCCCTCTATCCCCATCCATTTGCATGCAAAATTCAAGATGTCATTGTTCCTCACCGCTGAGTAAAATTCTAATGTGTATATGTTCCACACCTTCTTTATGGGGTATGAATTTTTAAAGTCAGATTTATTATGTGGTATAAAGTAGGCTTAAGGGATGGGGGAAGTAGCACAGCTTATGTATAGAGTTCTTTAAAAAAATATTCAAGTAATTAAAAAAGTTTATTCATCCTTGAATACAAGGTACTGTGGTTAATTACATTCACTCTCATGACACTGTCTCACCCTTCTCTGATGATCCTCTTTTCCTTAACTAGTGGCTCCACTGATGCCCTTCTCTTCCTTTCTTTCCCTTCCCTCCCCTCTCCTCCCCTTCCCTCCCCTCTCCTTCCCTCCCCTTCCCTTCCTTTTCCTTCCATCCCCCATGGGATGGAAGCTCTAGCTGCTGTGCATTCATAATTGTGGCCACCATGCTGAGTCCCGAAGGCAGGGCCCACTGCAGACCTCTCATCCCTCAGTCCCCGAGTTCCTTCCATTCCTCCTTCTGTGATGTGTGTAGGACACTGGAGGGAGTGACGAAGATGTCATGTTAGGGGCCAAGTCACTTATTCCCAGAGCTTTGACCAGTGGTGAGTCCCCGCTTTTAATGTCACCCACTTTTATAAGAGTCTTCTCCGACCAAGGCTAAGAGCAGAGTCAGTTTTGATCAATATCTGAAAAGGGCAAAGACTCAGAACCGTAAGTGGTTTTCCAGGGAAGCCGCTGCACTCTCACAAACTGTCTTCTTCCAGGAAAAATAAGGGTTACTAAAATTAACTCCTGCGTATACATAAACCAGATAAAACACAGCTCATGGGAGCCTACGAATAGTCACAGTGAATTCTGCAGAGCCAGAATTACGAGCATGTAATCATTTATCTTACATGGGCATTTAAAAGAAAATACTTTCAATTAAAGCAAGCAAGCAAGCAGCTTGAGATCTTCTGAAGGTCCTATAATTTAAATAGAAATTAAGGGTACTTATTGCTATTTTAATCTGAAAGGATGATAAAGTTCTATGTATTGAAACTTATGGGCTTAAGCCAAAGTATTCCTTGGAAAAATACAGTTTACTGCTTTAAGGAAATTTACAGCTTTGTGTTGAGTCACAGTCAGAGATGCTGTGCTTGGGCTCATGTAACTTAAGGGCAGCAGATTGACCATGCACGACTGCTAAAGACTTCAAG